GAGTGGAAAACCATCTCAAAAAGGTACACGGTATAGTAAGGATTCCAAAAGACCGACCCTCGTGCGTTCGACACGAACCCTACAGCTTTTTCGGACCTGCCTTAATATTAAAAATTTTATGCGAAGAAATCTGCATCTGGTGACAGCCGCTGCCAAATTTCATTTCAGAAAATGAATGTATCAGAAATGAGTATTTATCACACTGAAAACTGTCGGTATATTCAATAATGATATATAAAACCGTATGTATATGAATACAATACATATACGTTTATATTACACATGTCATTCACTTGCATTAATACCTTTACTATATTCATACACAATCTTGCAATTCGAAAAAGTTTTGGTCATTATTTGATAAATAAACTCTACTGTGACTCAAACCTACGGCCTAGCGTGAACCAACGAGATGCTGAACAAACTATACTATAGACCTCTGTATCAGAAAAACTCCTATCGTTTGGGGAATGGAAAAAGAATCTACTCATCCAAAACTTTGGGTAAAAAGTATATAACAAAATTGTACACAGTATGAAATATTATATAGAAATTTTTAATAAGAAACCTGACAGTTTATAAAATATATGACTTGGTGAGTGAGAATTGATATTTTTTTTATTTTGAAAATGTTTTTTCCCATCGATTGATAGTGACATTGGATGATTTAGGTGCGTATTGAATCTAATTTTTATTTGTATATTTATGATGATGCAAAATTCAAAAATGTATCATGGATTTCGGGAAATAATGAATACAGTATATTGAAAGAACTATGGTACTCTGTATGGTGTATGAAAAATGAGAAAGATAATTCTTCCTAACTACTGAGAAATACCTTAATATGTATGATTCAAACATGGAATTTTGGAATTATTGGCGAAATTGAAATCGTTATTTCGGGAATGAACTCGAAATTTCTAATTTAAAGTCGAATTTTCAGATTAAAGTCGAATTTTTGAAATCGAAGTCAGAATTTTGGGTGTTAGGTCTTCATTTCGGATTTGAATGTATGAACAAGTGATTGAATGAATAGTCATTTCACTACACTATGTAAATATTCACGTATGTTTTCCATTCTTCCGAAACTATTAGATATTGAAAACTTCGTAGATGTTCTGTGAACATCTACGAAGTTTTCAATGAATGTGCAGGTGAACATGTGCGATTAAATAGCGAAACACAATGAGAAGGTTCAACATTTCCAGATGGATTCAGAAAACATTGAGACATGAGAAAGTTCATCCAATTTCAATGAGGTATTTTAGCAAACTTCAGTTGTCAGAATTTGTGAAATGGGCAAATCACGTTTTGTCAGAGTTATCATAAATTCCGGTTCTCATCGTTCATATATTTCAAAACTCTTGCTTTAGAAATGGCACATGGACAGAAGAAAACTATACATGCTCTTTTTGGAAGAGTTCGTTCCGAAGTTATTATTTGTAATGTTCTTAGTTTGATAAGAAATTGTTTCTTATGAAATCAAGAGGCTGATACTTTTCTATAAGGTTATTTATTGTCACAGGTTAATATAGTATGTGTTCACATCGAGGCTGTAAAATCTTCTGAAATAGCTTTTTGCAACCTTTTCTCATTCTCTCGTGAAGTAGCTAGAATAGAGAATACTTTGAGGTTATTTTCCAAATACTCCGTCTTGAGGAAGTCAGAAGTTGGGTCTCTGCTCAATGTATCTGATACATACATTTCTTTCCCTGGCACGTATTTTAAAGTAAATTGATATCTGAGAAGTTTCAGCGTTAAACGCTGAATTCGAGGAGATAATTCATCTAAGGGTTTTTTTAATAACCCTAGTAATGGTCGATGATCCGATTCTATGATAAAGGCTTGTCCAAATAAATAGTAATGGAACCTTTCACATCCGTAGACCAAGGCTAACAATTCCTTTTCGATGTTATTGTAGTTTTTTTGAGTATCAGTCAGTGACACTGATGCGAACTCGATTGGTTTATTATCTTGAAATATACAAGCACCAAGCCCATAGGGACTTGCATCCACAGATAACACGGTTTCCTTTGATTGATCAAAATAAGACAAAGTGGTTGCAGAAGACACGAGACGTTTCAGTTTGTCAAAGCACTTTTGTTCATTTTCAGACCAAATCCACACGATTCTATCACTTAGTAATTTTCTAAGTTGATTGGTCTCTTGAGAAAGGTTAGGTAAACATTTAAACAGGTAAGTAATCATTCCAAGGAATCTTTGAAGTTCTTTCTTGTTTCTGGGTGAGTGCATTTCTTGGATAGCTTTAGTCTTAGTGGGATGTACTGATATTCCTTCTTCACTAATGATGTGTCCAAGAAATTGAATTTTATCAACAAAAAATTTGGATTTTTCTTTATTCAAAGTTAAGCCGCTATCTTTGATTTTAGTAAGAACTGTTTTCAAATTCAAGTTGTGTTCTTCCAAAGTTCTACCGAAAACTAAAATATCGTCTATGTACACGATTGTGCCACTAATACCATCTAATATTTCGTGAATATATTTTTGGAAAATCTCTGGAGCTGATGAAATTCCGTATGGTAACCTTAAGTACCGAAATCTACCGTAACATGTTGTAATGGTATACAACAAAGAGCTTTCATAAGTTAAAGGCACTTGAAGAAATTCTTGGGAAGCATCCAAAAGCGTGAAATATTTGGCTCCAGCCAAATGGGAAAACAAAATTTCCTGGGTCGGTATCTGGAATCTCTCACGTTTGATATATTTATCTAATGTACGAGGGTCCATACAGATACGTACATCACCATTTGGTTTTGGCACCACTACTATTGGATGTACCCAATCAGTTGGTTCATTAACAGGTACAATTATATTATCCGACACCATTTGATCCAGTTTACTTTTGACCTTCGATTTCAAGGCCATGGGAATTTTACGCGGTGCACTCACGCATGGAATCGCGTTGTCACCCAAAGTTATTCTATATTGACGATTAATTTTGCCTATGCCAGTAAAAACGAATTCATGTGATTTGAGTATATATTGTAATTCATTATTCTCGATTACGCTAACATCACGAACAATTTCATGTCCAGGTAATATTTTCAATAACTTTATCGCGTCAAGTCCCAAAGTCGAGCATGGTTTATTGGGGCTCAACAAAAAGAACAAAATTTTTCTATTCACTGATTTGTAGTTGCAGTTCAACTATAATTGTCCAACAACATCAATTAAATGACCTGAATAAGATGACAAATTCGAATTAGTGTGACTGAGTGCCTTATCACTGATTCGCAATTTTTTTTAAAGTCACTGTAGTTCAAAATATTAACTTGGCTACCAGTGTCTATTTTTAAATTCAATGAATGTCCACCAAAATTTACTTTTTTCAAACCATTCCACTCCATTAATGTCAGTTTGATTGGTAATAGACCACACAATTAAATTAGGATCACAAGAGTCATTATTCAAATGTTCAATATCATCAGTTTCTTGCACTATTTCATGCACCCCCGATTTATTGTTAGGGCAACATTTTCTATAATGTCCTTTATTTTGACAAAAACTGCATATTCTATTAAAGGCAAGACACTTACCGAATTGGTGAAAACCATCGCATCGATTACATCTTTTATTTACATTACCAGCTGTTCCTGATGCCGGACCTACAGATTTCTCGAAATGGCGGGTATTTTTTCTTGGAACACTCCCTTGTCCGAAAAATCTCTCAAAAGATGGTGAAGTAGATACCGTGTTGTTGTCACTTGCCGAATATTTCTGTGATAATGTTTATTCACAGCATTCACGCTCACAGAGTCTTTCGTGATTTCTTTCTGAGTCAACATGCTATTTTCCATCGCACGACACGTAGTAATAGCATGTTCGATATTCA